CTCCTTTTCTGAAAGCAGATACTTGGATAAGCAAAAGAAAAGATAAAAACCCAGTACCACAGTGAAGAACAATCCTACTATAATCATTACCATCCCCAAACACTTACCAAACTCAAAATAAACACAGGAAAAGAGGGCATTAAAGACAGTTCTCTCTGCCAGAAATTGGAAAAGGCTGATCCACTCCCCTAACTACCAAAGAACTAATCAGGATGACTGCCTGCTACAAAGAATGAAAGCTCTCAGTCTATGTCTCTCTCTCTCTCTCTCTCTTTCTCTCTTTACCAAACTCTGTTGTACAAGAAGGATACAAGTTTGTATTAGTATATAAATGAAAATAAACTTTTCAAAACAACATTCACAATATTTTCATGACCAGCTTTCGTCCCTATTGCACCGACTACATGAATTTAAGTGTGTTACTAGATTGGCATCTAGGTCCCACCTGCTTACTGTTGAAATAGCTAAATGCCACCGCCAATTCTACACAGTTTTTTTTTTTTTTGCACTTCCCACTTGTGGAACTCCCTTCTGTTTACTTGCTTCCAAGATAACTATAATCTTCAAAAATGTAAATGCAACGTCAATTGCCATCTTCTATCTTCCTTGAGGTGAAATGATTAAAAATAAATAAATATATGCTTAAATAATATTTGCAGTAACCAGACTAGACTTCCCTTAGCAACCATTAATATTCTGCAATCTAAACTAAGTTAGAAACTGCTATTAACTTACTATCTGCCATTTATTTTTATACTCTTGAATCCAAAATGATGCAAAACAGAAATGCCAGACTTACTATAAGATAAATCAAGTCAGGAAAAAAGTTAATTCAATATCAGCAATTAATTTGGATGTTCTTGGATCAGATTAAATACCAGTGTCAAAGATCAAAATTGCATACATGAAAAACCATTCTTCTTGTAAAAATCTTCATCACACTGTCAGCTAAGCCAAGTCAGTAAAATGTGTTGATTCAGTGGATGACATTGCACATTTTTTTATTATAGTTGAAGCCAAGATCAAAAAGTAAGACCTGCAGATAAGAAAAAACAAATCTTTGTCCATTCATTTACTGTTCTCTCTCCTTAATAATGTTTTTTTTCATTTCTCACATTCTCTCACATTCAGTAATCCCTTGCATCTTAGTGGCTTTATTTTCTAGCTTTATTTTCTAGCATAGCCTCATCCGGGTTCCTCTCCGCTCAGAGGCAGAGCATTCGACTGTAAAGCTGAAAAGATTCCAGCTAGTCAGTATTGAAAGTTAATTCAATATCAACAATTAATTTGGATGTTCTTGGATCAGATTAAATACCAGTATCAAAGATCAATATATACTTGAAAAACAAGGTGGATAAAATAAGTAAAGGTTTATTGTAAAAACCAGTACAATAAGAATAAAGATAACAGTTATGCACAAGGTCATCTCAAGTCATTCTAATAGTGAGTACTACTATTGGAAGGTCGGTAGTTCTCATGTAAGTCTGACACATACTCAACAGATCCCAGCTAGTATATTTACTAACCGCACCACGCGATCAGATGTGGCACAGGCCCAAATTTAATGTGGGGATTCCGAGCCTGTAGGCTCAGTCAAAAATTTGGGGTTGGGTAGCTGTTTCCGAAGACAAGACTCTGCCCTTCAACATGGCCTTATCTAGGGATCCTCTCTATCTGGAGGTAGAGAGTTTGACCAGCACAGCTGGAACAGATCCCAGCTTAGAGTATCTAGCAACTGCCCCATGCATTCACATGTGGCACAAGGCCAATCTGAATGTGGGGTATTGAGCACATAGGGTCGGCCAAAAAATCCCTGTAGACCCTGCATAAATGGGATTGAGTCTGTCTACCTCTTCAAACAAGACTCTGCTCTTTGGCATAGCCTCATCCGGGTTCCTCTCTGCCTGAAGACAGAGAGTTCGACCAGCACTGCTGAAAAAGATTCCAACTAGTGTATTTACTAACCTCCCCACATGATCAGGTGTGGCACAAGGATGGGTTTAATGCGAGGCATACGTGAAGGTTCAGCCATAAATTCCCGTAGAACCCGCATAAACGGGATTGGGTTGGTCTACCTCCCCAAACGAGATTCTGCCTTTCGGCATAGCCTCATCCGGGTTCCTCTCCGCTCAGAGGCAGAGCATTCGACTGTATAGCTGAAAAGATTCCAACTAGTCAGTATTTACTAACCCCACCCACGAGGGTAGATGTGGCACAAAGCCAAGTTTAATGTGGGCCATCTGAGCCCATAGGCTTGGCCAAAAATTCCCCATAGAACCCGCATAAATGGGATTCGGTTGGTCAACCTCCCCGAACGAGACTCTGCCCTTCAGCCTAGCCTTGTCCAGGTTCCTCTCTGCTCAGAGGCAGAGAGTTCGATCTGCAAGCCGAAAAAGATTTTGGCTTGTATATTCAGCCACCCCACCACGATGGTTGCATGTGGCACAAGGCCAGGTTTAATGTGGGTTCTCCGAGCCCTTAGGCTCGGCCAAAAATGCCCGTAGAACCCAGATAACAGGATCAGATTGATCAACATCCCCGAACAAGGCTCTGCCCATTGGCTCTGCCCTTCGGCTCAGCCTTGTCCAGGTTTCTCTCTGCTCAGAGGCAGAGAGTTTGACCGGCTAGCCAAAAAGATTTTGGATAGTCTCTGTAGTCCATTGACTTACAGATACTTATAGATAATTACTACGTATAGTGTAGTCACTCATGGGGTTGACAGGTTATTCCATTACATCAGTAACAATTTCCATATATTTGTTTTGTAATAAACTTTTTAAATTGTAAAGAGATTTTATTGACACCCTGTATAAATGATGGAAGAGAACTTTATGTGCCTTTCATCAGTATGGTTCATGCTAACCCCCAGGGAAGTAATGAACTGTGCCTTCTCAGGCTAACATATTCCACAGGCATAAAGAGGAAAGATTATACTGAATAAACTATTAAATATACTGCGAGGAAATTTAATTTACTCTGTCATGCTTGACAATGTTTCCTTGCCTGAATCTATTTTATACATTTATAAGTCTATCATTCATCCATGCATTGAATATTGCAGCCACATCAGGGCTAGTGCTTCTGCTATGTATTTAGAGATTTTTGAGAAAATCTAAAGAAGAATCTGCAATGTTATTGGTCCTGACCTGGCATCACAGCTTCATCACTTTCCCACCACCATAATATAATTTCCCTGTACCTTTTCTATAAATATTTATTATTTATATATTATATTTTTGTATCATATATTTATTTTATATTATTTTATATTATTATATATATTATCATGTACACTGCGTTTGTTTACATTGTGCAGATCAGTTCGAAAATTTCAGTGATTTCGCAGGTCAGTGTTGCCAACATTGTGTGAAAATTTTGTGTGAATTGATTGGACGGTTTTTGAAATATTAGAAAAAAGTTATCTCGATAATAATTTGGCACGCAGTGTATATTATTATATATATTTTGTATTATTTAATATTTCATATTATATTTATATTAATTATTTTCTGTAAATATTTTTCTTTTGTACCTTGACTTTACAAATTTGAGCACAGTATTAGATTGACAGCAAGGTTTCATCATTTTGTAGCTGAAATGGCTAGATATAACCGTAAGTTTTATGTTAACATTTTCTTCTCTTGTACTTCTCGCTTGTGGAACTAACTTCCAGTCAACTTCAACCTTGAAAAATTTTAATCCAATTTCAGTTGTTATCTTCTCTCTTCTTAATTCCTGTTCATTTACTGTTCTCTCTCCTTAATGTTTTTTTTCATTTCTCATATTCTCTCACATTCAGTAATCCCTTGCATCTTAGTGGCTTTATTTTCTAGCTTGGGGTGAAATGATTAAAAAAAAAAATGAGTTATTTCAATGTATGCCTTTAATTTTGTTAATCTTAATGCCTCCAAAACTAAACTGATCTCTTTTAATTATTTTGGAGAACCTATTTTCTTTTGTTTTACATCAACATTGCTGATTCAAAGCTCAAATTGAGTAACTCATTGCACTTGCTCAGCCAAATGTTACCACTAAATCGATTTAGAATGAATATATCAAGACAATAGTTAATTTTGCTGCTATGAAAGTTGGTTTACTGTATTCTGCTAGATAATTTGCCATTATAAGTCTAACATTCTTCGATGCACTGGATATTGTTGCCACATCTGGTCAGGTTCTTCTGCTACATACCCAGATATTCTTGACATAATCCACAGAAGCATCTGCAATGTTATCAGTCCTGACCTGACATCTCAGTTTCAGATATATTTCAGTCTATTCATAAAATAGCTTCCCTGAGAATTTTATACAAATATTTTCATGGCAACTTTCCTGATGAAGTCTCCACTTTAGTACCTTGACTTCATGAATTTAAGCATAGGACTACATTGGCAACTAGGTTTGATCATTTTACAGTTGAAATTGCTAAGCGTAACCATGTATTCTACTCTAATGGTTTCCTTTTCTCACACTTCTCGCTGTGGAACTCTCTTCCAGTGTGTTGCATCCCTGTCAAATATCATCTGCAAAAATTTAAATGCAATTTCAATCATCGTCATCTTTTGCCCCAAATCCTGCTCCGTCCTATTGTGCATTTTCCTCAATTATTTTTTCTCATTTTACTTCACACTCAGTAACTCCTTTGTTGTAGCATGCCTGTGGATGATAATGGGTATGTCCTCATTCCCATAAATACAGTAGTAAATACTGTATGTTGGTTTGCAGTTGGAGATTCATTGTGGAATTCACTTGACTCACTTCTAGCAGTTGACTACTTCTATGCGCTGCTGATGAATCTTATATGTGTGGTTCTTGTCTCAAGTATTATCATTCATTACCAACCTTCATTTGATTATTCTATTCAGTAAACTTCTCTAGGTTACAACACCCTTGTATCATAGTGGTTTTATCACCTTGTTTGGTGTGAACTAAAAAATCCTAATAACAAATATCTAGAACTGTAGAGATAGGAAAACAATTTTCTATTAAAAATCTTGATTATGCTCTTACTTAAGCCAAGAGATGAACAGGGTTAATTGAATTTCATCCACTTATTTAGATATTCTTGGATTCAGATAAATGTGAAATTCAGTTATCAAGAACTTAGATATGGAGAAGCCATTCCTCTCTTGATTTTATTACTTAAATACCTGAGATGTCTGCCATTAATTTTGATATTCTTAAATGCATATGAATGCAAATATTAAAATGCCCAGAATTAAAGACAAACAGAAGCCAGTCTTCTCTTAACCTTGATTGTACAGTGCACTAAGCCAAGTTAATTACCTGAGATAATTCAATATCATTATTCAATATTTGATTAATTTTGTATTCAGTATTTGATTAATTTTGATATTTTTGGATCAGAATTAATGCTAAAACTGAACTTCAAGAACTGCCAATATAGAAAACTCTTAACAATTTTGATGATAGTGTGAAATACATCAAATCAGGAAGTGAGTTATGCCAATGTCGACCATTAATTTTCATATTCTTCGATTGGATAAAAGCAAATAGCAAGAGGTAGGACTTGCAGCGATAATAAACATTTTTTTTCTGAGAAATCTTCAGAATACAGCCTGCTAATCATAATCAGAGAGTGAGTTAAAAAAAAATGAAATGTGGGATAAACCTGCCTTATCCAACCAGTCTGGATTAAATGCCATCTGACATCCATTGGATAATCTTGAATAATAAAATTAAAGCAAAAATCAGAGATAAGTTTATAGATAGAAAGATCAGTCTTCACTCAGTAACCTTAATATCAAAAGTTTTGTTATTTTTAAGGATATCTAATCTAAAGCTTAATACATGTATACATCTAAAGACTGTTGATAATACTAGTATATTATTACTATTACATATTAACTTGTATTAAAAGTATATTCATTTTTTACTGATCACATTGCGGATAAAGTATACTACTTTCTTTGCAATTTTCTCAGACTACATTAAGGTTCTCAATCTATTATTTAGACCTCATCCCAAACAGGATTTCTTTAATTTTCTTAACCTCCAGTAATATTCCTCATGTATCATTTATATCTCACCTAATAATTGATAATGTATGCTGCTCCCTAATAATGTTCCCAACCTATTTTTTAGACCTCATCCGGGAGAGAATAATGCATGCTCCTTCTTTCAATTTTCTCATTCTGCTGCAAGGTTATCTAAGTCTTATCTGCACCTCATTCCTAAGACGACACTATATGGTGTTACATTTAGTTCTTGTACTTTATAATAATGGTGATTTGGACCTCATACCAAAGATAGTAATCTGAAATGTTATCTCCCTGAATATGATCTGCCATATGAATCTTTTCTACTTTATTTTGCTCAAATTCACAAATTTAACTTTATGCCTTTGCCCACAGATGTTCTCAGTTCCTTAGTAAATATATGTAAGGATGATACCACAGTGTATGGGTGAACCTCCAAATATCTCGATGACCAGTATCTGGCAGCTGATCTCCCCACTAACTCAACTCTTACAGATTAATGTGGAGAAGACTGGCTGGTATCATTAAATACAAACAAAACTTAACTCAGAAAATAAACTTGCATCAATCCTGATGAGATGTCATACCCTCAAAAGAGGCTCCTTGCCTTGAAGACATTCTGGGTCTATAGCTCACTCCCAACCTCAAACTTGCATCAATCCTGATGAGATGTCATACCCTCAAAGTGGCTACTTGTCTTGAACACCTACTGGGTCTAAAGATCACTCCCAACCTCAAACCAATCCTGATGAGACGTCATGCCCTCAAAGTCCTTGTCTTGAACACCTACTGGGTCTAAAGTCATACCCCTCAAACTTGCATCAATCCTGATGAGATGTCTTCAAAGTGGCTACTTGAACACCTACTGGGTCTAAAGATCACTCCCAACCTCAAACTTGCATCAATCCTGATGAGATGGGTCATCAAACTTGCATCCCTCCTCAAAGTGGCTACTTGTCTTGAACACCTACTGGGTCTAAAGATCACTCCCAACCTCAAACTTGCATCAATCTTGATGAGATGTCATACCCTCAAAGTGGCTACTTGTCTTGAACACCTACTGGGTCTAAAGATCACTCCCAACCTCAAACTTGCATCAATCCTGATGAGATGTCATACCCTCAAAGTGGCTACTTGTCTTGAACACCTACTGGGTCTAAAGATCACTCCCGATCTTAAATGGAATGTGTATATTTGTGCCATCACAAAAGATGCTTGAAGAATGTTTGGTATGTTGTATCACTCTGCTGTCTTGTTCTATCTTTACAAAAGTTAGATTAGACCAAAAATGAAGTATTGCTTCGATTAATCCTGATTTGGCATCTCATCTTCAGTTACCTTCCCACCACCATAAAGTTGTTTCCCTGTGCCTTTTCTATAAATACTTTCATAGTAATTGTTTGGATGAGCTCTTTATTATGGTACCTAGACTTTTTGAATTTAAGCAGAGTACTAGACTGGTAAGAATATCTCATCATTTTACAGTTGAACAGGCTAGATGTGACTGTACATTTATTTTTTTGCACTTGTCAAACTCCATCTGGCTTGATGCTTTCCAGCCAACTTTAATCTTCAAAAGTTTAAATGCAATATCAATCACTATCTACTGTCTTCCTGATTACTTGTTATAGTAATTTACCCATGTATGCATGGACTCTCCTAGTTATAAATAGGAGCAGGTACTGCCTTTTGGAGAGGGAAGTTTCCAGCAGTCAGCTCTGACAGTTGAACCGAACATTCTTGCTGTAACACTCGTATTTGTATATATTTTTATTACTGTTTCTGTTAATATATTTATTTAACTCAGTTTCTCTCTTTGTGTCTTTATTTCTGGCCCTAACAAGGCCACAACACTATCTCTCTATCTTTCTATCTTGGTCCATTCATCTATTTATTTATCTATCTATCTATCTATCTATCTATCTGCACATATGTTGGATTTTTCATTTTGGTCATTCATCTATCTATCTATCTATCTATCTATCTATCTATCTATCTATCTGTTATGGTAATTTACCCATGCATGCATGGACTCCCCCAGCTATAAATAGGAGCAGGTACTGCCTTTTGAAGAGAAAAGTTTCCAGCAGTCATCTCTGACAGTGAGACTGAACATTCTTGCTGTAACACTCTCGTTTATATCTGTTTGTATTACCAATTCCTGTTAATATATTTAACTCAATTGCTCTCTTTGTGTCTTTATTTCAGGCCCCTAACAAAGCCACAAAATTACTTTCTTTTGTTATCGATCCTTAGTAAAGTTTCTGTTTCCAATTTTTCCACACACAGTAACCTCTTTACTGCCTTGCTTGGGGTGAACTCACTTAAAAAAAAGAAATATCTAATGCCATGCCATTTTCATGGTGGTAAACCATCCCCATTCTCTTTATGTTCCTTTGATAAAAAGCAAATTCCTCTTAGACATCTTTTTCATCAGAACTGTTACTCAGCGGAACAAACTCCCAAGTGAATGCTGTCCTTACGATTACAATTTTGGTCTTTTTAAGTCCAGGTTCAACTGATATCTATCTTACTCAACATCATAATACTCTCTTACTTCCCCTGTCTCTTACTCAATAAGAATCTACATTGAGTGGCTCTTGGACCCTCTGTTGGATGAACTAAAAAAAGAAAAGAAAAGTATAAGTATGCTATCTCCATTATATGCTTTTTAACAACTGCATGGAATGCTATAAATCTTTTTGCCAGTTTCTCATAAAGGAACAATTCTAGGAAGAAGACACAAAATATTGCTATGCTGTTTTAGACCACCATGATGTGGTAAATGCCTTAATTATAGTTCTTTGTCCAAGATGATTCAAGATAATTTGTCAGTGGTGATGAGGGCCAGGAACAGAATGATTGCTATGTAGTGGCTGATAAGATATTTTCCTCCTTCTCTTTTATGTGCAATGTCCCTTCAGAAAGTAAGCAATCATGGCTCTCCACAATTTCCTGACCTTTGTAACTCTTAATATATTGTATATTTTTGTCATCACTCCTAAACCTTACTCTCTCATTCATTTACACCAGCTCATTCTTCTTTTTCTTTTATGTACCGTGTCCCTTTAAGATCTGTTCGATCACGGCTCTCCACAATTTCCTATCTTTTGTATCATTTACTAAGGTTTGTCTTTTTGCTCTCTCTCTTAATCCCTCTTCTGTTAATCATTTACACATTCTCATTCTTCTTTTACTTTTATGTGTCATGTCCCTTCACAACATGTCCCTTGATGATGGCTCTCCACAATTTCTTACCCCTTGTTGCTCATAGCAATTTTTTTCTTTTTGCTAACTCTCCTTATTGCTGTTCTGCCAATCATTTAAACATATTCATCCTTCTTCTTCTTTTATGTGCCATGTCTCTTCAGGGTGGTCAGTTATGGCTCTCCACAATTTCCTCTCATTTGTAGCTCTTAATAAAGTTTGTCTTTTTGCTATCTCTATTCTGCCAGTCATTTACACAAGCTTATTCTTGTTCTTTTTTATGTGCCATGTCCTTTCAGGGTGTGGTAAATCTTGGTTCTCCAAAATTTCCTTTCCATTTTTCTATCTCTCCTAATCCCTGTTCTGTGAACAAATTACACAAGCTCATTAGCTGTTATTCACTGTTTTCCTCTGTCCTTCTTACCCATGTCTAACTAGATGGCAGAAGAGGCTTTAGCAGAAGTAGATATAAATATTTATAATAATATGTTTAAAACTTGTTATGCAAAATAAATGTTACCACTTATGTTACAAGAGTATTATATAAAAAAGGCTGATAGCAAATTATGTGTCATCTCTGGTTTTTACCTCAAGACCCAGAGTGCCCAACCCAGTCAGTGCCACCTTCTGGAGGGGACTGAGGTCATTAACTGATGCCAGATGTGTCCACTGAAAGAGAAGTGCCAAGAGAGCTTGAGCAATTTCTGTACAAGTTTTCTGATCCTGTATTTAGCTTGACCTTGTTATAAACAAACATATGGTAGCAGAAAAGACCAAATGAAATAAGTAATGCCAGTGACGTGAAAGGAAAAGAAGAAAAAATTGTTAATTTAAAATTCTTTGTATGAAACGCCAAACTAACGCCTATCATGACAAACGGATGTTCCTTCAAGGAGGCTCCATGCCTTGAGACATTATTGGGCTCTTAAACTCAGACCTGACCTCAAGTGGAACTTGTGCACATGATCCATTGCTAAAGATGCAGGAAAAATTGTCAACTTCCTGTACCGTTCCCTGTACTGACTCCTCATGTTATCCTCTAATTTACAAGAGCCAGATCAGGCCAAGAATGAAGTGCAGTTGTCCCATTTGGGTGGGAGCTGCCCAGACCTCCTTTTCCATTCTTGACAGAGTTCAAAAGTGTCTCCAAGTACTTGTAGCAGACAAATTATTTTCCATCCTTTAACCTATCTCCCACAGGTGGGGTGTGGTCAGCCTCTCACTGATCTATCGCTACTTCCATGGAAAGTGCTGGGGTGAAATATATTCTTTAGTTCCATGAGTCCTAACCTTCAGGGCAAGCATCCACCATGCCACTTATATTGCAGCAACCCCCCCATTCCCTCTATATTCCATCAAGGAGAAGTAAGTTCCACTCAAACAGCTTCTTCCTGCAAGGTACTACTCTGTGGAACCGGCTCTCAATCACAACAATCTTAATCTGTCAAGTCTACGGTTAACCATTATTTTCCCCTCCTATCTATATAAACTGCCCCTTAATGTAATAGTCTACCTTGAGTGGTTCCCAGGCCTTGTACAGGGTGAACTTCACTGTAAGAAAAAAAATTGCCAATACACAGAATATGAATGATTGGCTTATTTATGCTGCATTTTATATTTTTTTGAGGGGATTTATTTTTGAGGGGCCAGATGTGATGCTCAGAGTGCCTAATTTTTGGTTCTGTTTTCTTAGCATTCACATCCGTATAACATGTAGAATAAATCAGAAAGAGAACTAATTTAAGGCAGAGTATAACAACCTTGTGTCACATTTTGCAATGTTGGAGCATATTTTCTACATACAATGTGTGAAAGCATGTGGATACCCTGCCATCATCAGCCACCAACCAGGGGAGGTAACAGTTTTGGTGGGTAAGGCAGTAATGTCACCCTTGGCGCCACCAGCAGCTTTTGCCACTGGGCAGTGTATTGTTTTTTTGTGTAGACGTGTCAGTTTCTTGTGATATTTTTTTTCTACTGTGAGTAAGTCAGATTTTCAATGTTGTGTTAAAAGCATTTGCTTTTGTTTGTTAACCAATAAACAATGTGTTTGTAGTAACCATTATCAATAACATAGAATGGAAGGAAAACAGATGTGTTTCATGTCAGAAGAAGCATTGTGTTGTGAACATGGTTTTTATTAACCTTGTTTATTTTTGATCTTGACCAGATCCAACTTGATGCTTGTTGATCTGTGGTCTGGACATGATGTGAAGCACACTTCAGGCTCCAGCCAGTGATGCCTACCTTCAAAAGGAAAGAAAAGGATTGACCATCCAAGGAATCCATAGCACCTAAAATAAGTAGGTAGTACATGACATGTCCACTTCTTTTCCATACATAGATGAATACTCATTGTGTATTAGCAGTACAGGTTGTTTTGTTCAACTGATATAAAGAGGGACACCCTGACAATATTTGGCCTTACGAGAATTTATAAAAGATGAACACTCATAAAAATATTCCCATCCCAAATGATTAATATTCTGAGCTCGAACACAAATGACCAGTAGGTTAGACATTAATCTGTATTTAAGTGGTAGAGACATTTGTCACTTGTGGTTCAACAGAAATAATTTCACACGTAATTGATTCAAATCTTGATACCATCCCATTACACAGACTGAAATATTTCACAGCCGTTTCTCTTGTAGGGCAAGTTGAGAGGATATATTCAAACAAAAAAGTACTGACAATTAAACAGTGTATAATAAATCAGTCATTGAGAGAAAGTGATGGATAGTCATGTCCTTTAAGGAAAACTCTTAACCATCTCACCATTTTAAAGCTCACATATTACTAAGATACATTTACAGGAAGATATTTTTAACACTTATAAGAATTTGAAGTTGACAAAATAGTTATGTGCCATTTGCCTATATTCCTATTTTGGTAGATATATGTTTCTTCAGTAGGACTTCTTGATTTAGGCTGATTGATATTGATGTCAATGTCAAAGAAAAGAAAAAAGTCTGATGTAGTTTCAATATTTTTTCCAATCTCATCATCAGGGTTTCACTGGCTAAGATAAATAGTTGTTTGTCCAAAATATGTTTTGGTTTTTAGACAATACTAGTAAATTTTGGAAATTAGGTGATACATCATTTGATGACACTGCAAAAAAAGAGGTTAAATTTCAGAAGAGATTGCTTGAATTTCATATAAGTATGTTCCTCTCAAAGCAGGTATATGGTAGAATTTGACCTGTTGGCTCCCATTGTCCTAGGATGTATGAATTCTGCTTTGGCCCATTTTGACTATGGTGAGCTCTGAAATTTGGTGGGGAGGTGGTTCACTCACATCATAGCAGTAGAAATTAGGCTTGTGTTTACAAAGAAAAAATGCATACTTGATAGGAAATAAAATGTGCACAAATAACAGGAAATTTATTTTTTATCTAATTTATTCATTTAATTTATTTATATTTAATTTATTTATTTAATATATTTATTTAATTTATTTATATTTAGTTTAATTTATTTATATTTTATTTATTTATTTTATTTATTTATATTTAATCTAATTTATTTATATTTGATTTATTTGTTTAATTTATTTATTTATTTATTTATATTCAATTTAATTTATTTATATTTTATTTATTTATTTAATTTATTTATATTTAATCTAATTTATTTATATTTAATTTATTTTTTTAATTTATTTATTTAATTTATTTATATTTAATTTAATTTATTTATATTTAATTTATTTAATTTATTTATTTAATTTATTTATATTTAATTTATTTATATTTTATTTATTTATTTAATTTATTTATATTTAATCTAATTTATTTAT